ATATATATATATATATATATATATATATATATATATATATATGAAATAAAATACTTATGTACCTTTATAGTAGAATATTTTTATTGATGAAATTGAAAGAAACAGTTTGAATCTCCGAACTCTTTCTTTCCGCTCCTTTTTCAGCTATACAGTATTGTATGTGTTTTTGTCTCTTTTATTCCATGTCCTAGCCATTTAGTTTCTTGTATTGCTGCTAGTTCTATTTTGTATTTTCTATATATTAAAAAACCAGTAGATGGAAATATTAAATCTTGTTGATCTATTTTCTATTGATCTAAATGTCCGCACCATAAATAAATACCACATCACTGAAAGACGCGTCTTTGCCTTAATATTTTACCAATTTCCTCGTACAATTTTCCCTGTCAGCATTTGCCTCCATGAAATATTAACCCTAAAATATTTATGACGCTGGCTTTATATGCAATTCTTATAGGAAAAATTTTGTTTTGAATACACATGGCAGACGTCATTCGAAATATTGTTCGACTATAACCTTAACTCAAAGTGACCGCCAGAACTCCGAAGGAAAATGTAAAACTTTATCTTGTCTAATAATACTTTATGTCCTAGTTAGTTCCCCGTAGACTCACAAACTTTAGGGAAGTAAATTTTGCGGAATATAGATCGACAAATAGTAAGTAAGATGAAAGTTTTATGTCAAGTTCGACTAGAAAAATTATAGATAAATGAAGAAGTAGCTTTATGATGCTGATTGATGATGGATCGCATGTTAAATGTTTGTGGGGCCAATTCATGACTGAAATAATAAGATTTTGTAAATTGATCTTCTATATAAAATTTTTTCTCTAGACGGAAAGCTGTATTAAATAAATTGTTTATTTGCTGTAATAACTTTCACTGCAGTTATCAAAGAAAGAGTAGAAATGTTTAGAAATACGTACACTTGATATTGTAACGTTAATTTTAGTTTTTATTTACAGCGTTCTAAGACTTATTTTAATGTTTTTACAGTTTTTTACAACTAACATTAAAAATACAATTAATTTATAACATTTATTTACTTCCCGTTACAAATCTATTTATTAGACTAACTTCCAAAATTTAATTTATTTTTAAAATCTCTTTTATATACTTTTTATCTCTTTATCTCTTTTATATACATTTATTTTAGTCGTTCTAGAACTTCATCTTAATTCATCATAACAGCTTAAAATTATCTTAAAAGGTGACATCAGAACATCGCCATTCGAATGGATATCTCAGAAACCTGCTTAATCGAGTACGGTCTGGACAGTCGCAGATCTTAAACGCCGTACGTAGGTCGATCGTAGGGCAAGGGGATGGTTCCTCCTGGAACGTTGTCGGGACTAGAACTAAAACTAGATACTGAATCCTATTTTACAACTTTCAGTTGAAATAAAAACGGTACAGCGAAGAACTGTACCAAAATTTTCTTGAAAACAGCGATCAATAATTAGCCGATGAACTGCTCCATAGTCTAGATGCAGCGAGACAACAAAAATGGACGGAAATCAAGTAGGCAAGCATGAACACTAAGACAATTAGGAAGCAGAACTCCCATAACAAGGAACAAAACAAAAATGAACCTAAACGCTATTGCCTCACATCTGGTATCGACATCTAGGGCCCAGAAAGACAAGCCATACACAATCACGGTCAAATGAGAGCTCAAAACTTTAAAATTCCAATCTGCAGAAACCGAATACTGTCGCCCCTTCACTTCCGAAGAAGTCACTATAGCTCTCAAGAATGTAAATCCAGGTAAAGTCCCAGGTTTTCACAATATTCATCCCGAATTCTTAATTAACAGTGGCAAACATGCGAGAGACTGGATGGCCCACTTTTTCACAGATATGAAGACCGGTAACCATACCACAGAAACTCAAATGCTCGAAGATCATTGCCATATTTAAACCAGGGAAACCAAATGATAACAACCCTAAGAACTATAGACCAATAGCCCTACTATTAAAAACGTTCAAGCTACTAGAACGACTTATCTACAACAGAATTAGTCCAAAGCTACTTGAATCAATACTGGTTGATTAGGCAGGTTTCCGACAAAAAATAAGCTGCACAGATCAAGTTCTTTCACTTAACACATTTATTGAAGCTGGGTTCCAGAGAAAACTTAAAACTGTAGCCGCATTCATAGACTTAACAGTGGCCTATGATACATTTTGGAGAGAAGGCATGATATGCAAATCTTCTGTAAATTAACCGCTCGAATAATCAACAGCATGCTAGACGACCGAACAATCTAGCATCCCAAGAAAACTGAAGAATGGACTGTACTCTTTAACCTGTACATCGCTGATATACCAGAAACTAGATCAAGAAAGTTTCGTTACGCCGATGACTGGGTCCTTCCAATAAGGTGTAAGTCATTTGAACAAAAAGAAGAAATCCTCACAACATACTTACACATATATAGTGAGAAAGTATTTCCGTAAATGGAGGCTCCAACCAAACGCTACCAAAACAGAGGTTTCCAGTTTTCATCTAAATACCAAGATTGCAAAAAGAAAACTCAACACCAAACCAACTGTCACATAACAGAGCAGCGTCCCAAAAGTCCTATCAAGGCAGATCAGAGAGGATTTCTTAAAGGCGACTCCAGAGTCGATAGACTATATAAATAAGTTAGATGTTCGTTTATAAACATATATGTATTATGTTTTATACAAAATATATGTAAATTTAATTGTAAATGTGTCAAGTTCTATACGATAAATAAAAATAAGTATAATCTGTGCATAAGTTATATCCAGTGCACTCGTAGTGGTATTGTTGTATCAGGAACTCTTTCCTATTTTTAGAAAATAAATCTTTAAAATCCTATTCTCGTTTTTGTAGGATAATCTTTGAGATAACATACTTATGTAATATCCATACTCTAAAACTAGTTCAAAATCACTGAAAACAAGAAGATCTACGAGTACATAATTCAATAAGATTAAAAAAGAAGTGCCTCAAAACAAACTATGACTACACTCCGTATTACGTTTCAGTAATTTGCCGAGCGGATTTAAACTAAATTATGAAATATCTCTTCGGAAAGTTTTGTGAAAGTTCCAAGTAACCACCTGTTAAGACCGAAAGTTTTATGGAGTTTACATAACTTTTAGATATTTATCAGAATATTGTGAGTTCAGTTCGCTAAAAGTTTTCTGTGTCTTGTGGAAGCATTCAAAATACATCAGTGTTTGGCAGTTGTTTCTGTGTTTTGGTTAGTCAAAGAATGTAAATTTGATAGGTCGTCCGTTTTGAAAAAGGAGTTTAAAGAAAAAGAACGGTAAAAGGACACCACAGTACTTATTTAAAGAAAGTTTTGAGAAATATAATTCAGAAGCTATTTTCTGGTGATTCATATTCAAAATATTAAATTTTTATTAATTATTCTGTAATTATTTTTCTTCTTTCTTCTTGTATGTAGACTTTAAAGCCTGTTTCTCTTTCAATATTAGCCTATTAAATTGTTTAAATTGTCGTACCATCTTTTTCTTGGTCTGCTAATACTTCTTCGTCCATTTGGTGTATTGTACGATAAATGTGTTTAAATCTTATATTATTCTACTTGCTTCTTGTCGGATAGGCTTCTCTTTAGATACTGCATTTTTTCCACATTTGATAGTTAGTTCTTCTCATGTATCAAACGTTTAAAAATATCATAAAATATTACCCAGGATTTATACCTTCCCTCAAAACAGGGTAACTTCACTTTTGGTAATATTATTTTTTTCTTTTTTGCATTCTTCCGCCTTCAATCTATTATTTTCTTTTATGATCTACCGCACCCTTCTTTTTATTATATAAAATCTTTTCATTTCATCTTCTTCTAGTGCATCCTGCTCATTGTCCACAGTTATTTCTATTTTTAAAGCATCTATTTTTTGTACCTCTTCTTTTAAATCCTCTTATATATCTTCATCGTTTTCGTCGTCTTTCAATAAATGATGAAGTTTTTCCATCCTAATTTCCCATTCTTTAAGTTTTATCGAAAACTTATGTATGAATTTTTAATAAATTCCTCTAAAGTCTTTTTCGTTTTTTCATATTTATTGTTGTACTAAAGTTAGATGTTAAAATATTTATCATATTTTGAACCGCTTTCTACAATTTCTCTGTTTTTAACTTCAAAGTCGCTTCACAGTTTCTCCAGTGTCTGTTTTTTATGTTTAGGTATTCTCTCGCACGTTTTTCTTTCTTAAATTTTTTTAAGTGATTCAAAAACCTAATTAGTTTTTGACCTAATTTTTCTTGTTCTGTATATAATCTCTGCATTTTGACTAAGTAAGTATAATAAGTTTGAGCTAAATTCAACTTTTAAAGTCTCAGCAAGATTACCTTACACAACAACGCAATGAACTCAACCTTGTTGACATATCTAATTGAACAATTTAAAAAGGTAATAAAATCACTTGTAACTTGAGAAATAAAGTTTTTTCTATAAAAAATGCAAATATGATATATGTGGAATTGAATGAACTCAAAATTTTTCTCCACACTTCGAATTCGATTGTCGATCTTGTACGAAACTAAGGAGCAGCTATTCAGATCGCTAAGGGTCGTCTCCTCCAAAGCTAAAATCCAATTGCCCGTTTGATGTTGTTTTGTCGAAGGACCTAGAGCTTCGGTTGCTGCTTTTTCAATATTGTTTTTAATCTTCTACCAGCTTGCATTTATATCTTTGATGTCGCTTATTTGTTTCAGCTGTATCTTCTGTGCTAGCCTCCTTTGGTACATTTCTCTTATAGAGTCTTTCCACAGTGATTCTAGATTGAATTCTTCCTCGATGATTTCCTGCCGAAAATCTGTAATATTAATGTTAAACACCTTTTATTATGAATGAATGAATGTGCAATATTATTAATTATTATATTTACAATTATTATATTTTTAACTTGTGTCCATCGAAATTTCTGGGAAATACTACAAGAAAACAGCCAATAAGTATATTACAAAGAAATCTTAATTGCTTATGTTTGTTACAGCTTCACCATACTTTTCTGCCCCATCCCGGCTTGTCACCGTCAAAAAGGGAGATGCTGCGCTACTTCATTGTGATGTGAACGGTGACAAACCAATTAATGTGGTATGGTTACGGGGCGGCAAAACCGAATTAAATCCGTCCACTAACTACAGAGTTAACGTTAAACAGGACGTAACGCCAGATGGGGTAAGTTTTTAGCTACATATATTACTCATTACGTTTATTTTTTGGTCCTACAACCAACATGTCTGTAGACCTGTAAACAACAAAAATTTAAAAAACAAATCCAAAATGTTTACTTTATTATTAAATAAAGATAGGTAATTTTACAGTATAATTTATGATTAGTGATTTGTAGAAAAAAAGGACAATGTTGTAGTGCGTGTTAACACATTCAAGTCCGCCACCGCCTCTCCGACGTTCAGCCGAGTTCCGCAAAAACGCCGCGACCACCCGAGATGCGTTTGTGTTTGCACCTAATATAATCGTCTGTTACTTTGTGCGGCTAGTTTGGATCGGTTAGTGATTTGAGGAGCACATTTGAAGTAGTCCGTCTGCCACGTCTTGGGTTTTTATGAGTTTATGAGACTTAATTTTACAACCTTTACAAATAGCCGCTTATTTAGCTACCCCTACAGCTTCATGTAATTGTTCGTCTACCCCTACAGTTTTTTCAGACATGGTGCATAATGCACAAAATGATTGGAGTTTTGTCTCGAATTTATTGGAGTTTTATCTTGTTTTGGAGTCTCGAATTCATTATTTATAAGACCAGTTGATAAATCTGAACTGATTTAAACAATGAGTACTATCGAAAGCAAATCTTCCTGTAGTACTGATGGACTATCCATAAAAATTTTCTCTAAAAACTCCAAAAAAATGTGTTGGAAGTCTTGGTCTTACTAACTAACAATTCCTTTGAAAAAGGTATATTTTCAGCATGCCTAAAGACAGCCATTATTATTTTTTCTCCTCATAAGGGTGGTGAAAAATCGAATGTCTGCCACTATAGACTTATTGCCTTACTACCGGCCCTGTTCAAAATTATTGAGAGAATGAAGAAAGGCAGCAAATATTTGATTTCACGCAAACAAATCCTATGTATCTCTTGATACGTATTTCGACCTAATAGGTCTCGTCAGAAGAGCTATTCATAGGAGTCCTCAACGTGAAAAATCAATATTTTCTGCCTTTTAAGAAGCAAAAATAACATGGCTTCAATACGGACGCAGTAGCGACATCTAATTACAACAATCGTAAAATAGTTTCGAAACACAATTCAGATTTCTGCTTTATAATCTGAGCCTTCTAAAAATTGCAAGGCAAACAGACGTTGATAAAAGATGTTAAAAAAGACATGGGGAATCTAAAATTTGCATTCCACGACATGTCTTTTACAACTGAGCAGAAATCCTTAGCAAATTGTGCTTCTAGTACTCACACAGAGTAAATCCGAATAAAATGAAGAAAGGCAGCAAATATTTGATTTCACGCAAACAAATCCTATGTATCTCTTGATACGGTCAGAAGAGCTATTCATAGGAGTCCTCAACGTGAAAAATCAATATTTTCTGCCTTTTAAGAAGCAACAATAACATGGCTTCAATACGGACGCAGTAGCGACTTTTAACATCTTTTATCAACGTCTGTTTGCCTTGCAATTTTTAGAAGGCTCAGATTATAAAGCAGAAATCTGAATTGTTTTTCGAAACTATTTTACGATTGTTATTATTGAGAGACTTATGTCCTTTCTTTTTGAAAACATTTTATCAGTCAGTCATTTTATCAGTATCAGTTTTTCAGTACTGCATGAGGTCTATGAAGCACTAAGCAGTAATCTTTACACTGCCACTGTTTTTTGTGATGTTTTTTTAATTGTGTAAATCACGACATTTTAATAAAAAAACTAAATTTCTACGGAATTCAAGGTATTTCTTTCAATTGGTTTCAATCTTAGTTGAGGAATAGGAAACAACTAGTTAGAGCAAATGATACTGACTTTATCCACAAAAGCATTTTATGTGGTGTAGTACAAGGTTCAGTATTGTGTCCTTTACTTTTCCTTATCTTTATAAATGACATCACAAACTTGAAAATCCATGGAAACATTTTTCTTTTTGCTGACGATAACAGTATTACGTGAATATTACTTGAAGGAACTCTAATATTGCATTTCTTCATCCAATTATAACTTCTAATCTACTTAAAATAAACACCTGGTCCGATTCTAATGTACTCTCTTTTAACGTGGATAAGACAATAGCATTATCCAATAAAGGAGCTCTTCAACCCTTGCTTCTTAATAACAGCCACATCAGTATAGTTTATTCTGTAAAATTTCTTGGTATTTTTATAGAACGCAACCTTAGATGGTCCCTTCATATCGAATTGTTAAGTAAGAAACTAGACTCAGTCTGCAATAAGATCTGTTTCGACAGAAATCAATTAAGCATCTTCCAAAATATCATATTTTTCTTTGTTTGAGTCTTATCTTTGATAGGGCCTTCTTTTTGGGGTTATAGTACCTACATCTGCCCAATCCGATGTTATTTTTAAATGCATAAAAGAGCAATACGGTATCTTTTTGGCCTCAGTAGAATAACGCATTGTAGAAGTTACTTTAAAAATCTTGGGATTTTAACTCTTCCCGCTGTATATATTTTGTTTTTTTCAACAAGACCTAATCATGACTACTCCACCAGAAATTTAAGATCTCATGTATATTTACTGATTCCGTCCACTGAGTTAGTAAAGAAATCTATATTATATTCGGCAAAAAAAATTATACAACCACTTCTCTTTGCTACTTAAATCTAAAACTTCTTTCCGTAAGTTCCGTAAATTGACAAAAGCCTGTCTATCTAAAAGGCCATATTATTTAGTGGAAGAGTTTCTTAACGAACAACTAAGAAATTACAGTACGTTTACGTACAAACAACTTTTACTTTCACAACAATTTTTAGAGCCAATAAAGCATATTTTTATTTTTAAATAAATAACACATAGTTTATGAAATTGCAGACTTCCCTTGATCATATATAGACCAAACAAATCGTAGAATCCGAAATAAGATTTATAAACATTCCATTTCTCTTCGCAATTCCGGTTTAATTTCAGCTTTAGGTCAACATCGTCTTTATACAGGTTACAAAATGATTTTGAAAACTCTAGAACCATAGCCACCATCTGCTTCTTTGAACCAATAATTATCCGACAAGCAAGCGACAAAAATTGAAAAAAGACCAAATCCTCTCAATATCGGTTACCTTCGACATCGAGACATTTCATAAAGAAAATGTCATCTGCTCCACCCGCCAATCAAAACCCCACTGTCAGAAATGTTTGCGTCAACAGTCGCGCTAAGCCCCGCGCCAATCCCCGCGATAATCCCTACGCAAACCCCTGTGCCAACCTTAACCCAGTATATGTACGTGTATGTATACACATATATATATATATATATATATATATATATATATATATATATATATATATATTTATATATATATATATATATATATATTGTTATGCTATTTAAATTGTATTATATTGCTTATTTAAAAAAAATCCTGTCTATATTTATTAAATGATCTAATCTCCAATTAATCACAATAAATCAGCATTAACTAATTACAATCTCAGGCTATTTAACTTGTACTATTTACTTTTGATCGAAATTTTATATAACAATCAATCCTGTAATATTTGCAATATACTAACTTTAAATATATGAGAAGTTGTTTTCTATCATGGACCCAAATGTTATTTTACGTTGATTTTTAATATGTGTTATAACTAAGCTCTTTTTATATATTTTTTTTAAATGATCGCAAAATTAACTGTCTCTATTATTTATTCAATTTATTTAATTAATAAATGAAAACCACACTCCTGCTCTAATGAAAATTGACTGACCTTTCTTTCTCTGCCGTTGCAATTCTATGGCCACGCCAAATAAAAAAAAACTTTTCTCTGCTTCTGCTCTTATTGTGGTCCAGATGACGTACACCTTTCTCCTATCTGTCCTTGTATCTGCAACCCAACAACTCGTGTTATTCTATGCAGCCTCCTTTTGAGCCAATCTCCGCGCCTGTTTATAACTCCAAATGTTTCCGGCTTCGTCTGATATTAATATTCTTATACCCTTTGGTTTTTCTATCTCTCTGTAACCTGTTCCTCACACTGCTCAGCTTTTACACAGCAAATAAACACACCCGGTAAATTACGTCTTCGGGACTTCAAACAAACACAAATGACAAAGCTCATTCCTTCTTGGGAGACGAAAACTGACTAACTAACTTTTTTCCTCTCTCCTATCTCATAGCCAAAACCACCACCTCCTTGCATTCAAAAATTGACCAATAAAAATCATCCACCTCTGTGACGTATATCGTTACCAACCAACTCTCTCTATAAAACGTCATTCGGGTAATTCCAGAAAACAACATTCTTTAATTATTCTAACTAAATCTATCTACTTTACAAATATTTCTTACTAATAGCTACAAACGATACCTGTTTCTCAATTCAATGTCTTTTGTTAATAAACTTTTACCGATATAATCTTTCGGGGAGAAAAACCACCGCACATCCCCGTCTATTGTTTAAACACTTTCTATATACACTTTTATTCCGGGTAAATCCATTCCACAATAACCGACTTATTTAAATTTCTTATCGATATTGTCTCTGAGGCCTAATGAACAATTCTTCGAACAACTTAAAATACATATTTTGTCCTTTACAGGATGTTTGAAAATTTATATGCCCGTGTCTTTATGAAATATCAATAATTTTAATTTTTATTTAAGTAATAAAATTTGTATATCGGTTTTTTATTGCTTATGGACATTCAAAAGTACAACAATATATATATATATATATATATATATATATATATATATATATATATATATATATATATATATTATTTAATATTATAAATTTTTATATGTTGTGTACCTGTTGTACCTATACCCGCTGTGACTTATATGCCTTTTTTCCAGCGTTCCACAGTTAACCATAACGATTTGCTTCCTTCCGCAGTAAATTGAAATAACTTCATTATCATATTTGACCTAGATTTAAAATTGAAAACCATTTTTCATTAAAATTTGGTTTTTATACGTAGAAGACTTAATGCCAATCAGCACTCATTTGTTACGTAATTTTGAAGCTTTTTCCAG